CTCCTGTGTCCCAGGTCTTTGTCTTAGCCACAAGGTAATGGTCGGCAAATAATTCCCATGGGCTCTTTAAATGTAGGTGTGATGAATTGATACAGTTCTCAGTTACAAATACTACAGCCGCCTGCTCTCCCGGCTTCTCCCTCTACGGACGCCCAATACCCATTGTTTGGCGGTCAATGGAGCCTCCCCATTGTCCAGCAGAATCTACTTCAGTTTTTCAAATCAATGTGCGCAACTTGTGCCCTGATCTTCCATTCCAGGTTTTCTTCTCTCAGTCTCACCAGAGTCTGGATTTGAGGCTCTTTGTAAATTGATTCCCTGGACAAATGCAAAGAAACCACAGAGAAAATTCAGGATGAACCCAGCACTGCAAAGGGGGCGCTGCGGTGCAGGGAATGGTGCAGGCAGCTCAGTGGGGGGGGGGTCTTCCCTCGGTGTCAGGACTGTTTCTACTGCTGGCATGTTTACTCCTGGGGGGATTCTGCACCACTGCACGATGCAGAATTTCGCAGAATTCCCAGTTTCCCCCACAGAATCGGGGCGGCAGAGCTGCCTGGTGCAACTAGGGACCAATGGACTGTGTGGAGCCCAGCTCGCAGTGAGTGGAGCGCCCAGGCTGGCTGGGCCGGACGCTGCTCGCTCTGCTTGATCCCCATTGTCCTGGGGCAGGAGAGCGCCCGGGAGACCCATCGCTAGCAAAGGGTGAGGAAGGGCTGCACCGCACCATGTCCCCGGGCAGGACAGTAAAGAGCCTGGGGGTAGTAAAGGCTCTGGGGGGGCTGGTGTCTGGGCCGGGGCGGGTGCCCCTTGGCTGGGTCCTGGGGGGAGGTGAGTGCTGGTGTCTGAGCTGGGGGGTGCCCCGTGGCTGGGCTCTGGGGGGAGGGGGATGTTGGTGTCTGGGCCAGGGGTGCCCCATGGCTGGGTCCTGTGGGGATGGGGATGTTGGTGGCTGAGCTAAGGGGTACCCCGTGGCTGGGCTCTGGGGGGAGGGGGATGTTGGTGGCTGAGCTAAGGGGTGCCCCGTGGCTGGGGTCTGGGGGGAGGGGGAT